GAAAAAGGAACAAGTTTATTAACTTACTGGCAAATGAGGAGGATGGTAGATTCTCATCTTAAAGAACCATCATCCCCCCATAAACAGAAATACAGGGTTTTGAAAGGAGGGTTTCAGCTTCGGGCTATTGCTGTTTAACTATGGCATCTCTGGTTGAAGGTGGTCTCCTGACCTCTGTCGGGATAATTCTGTCGAGCCACCTCCTGTGGTTTAAGATACTAGAGAACATAGAACACTCCTCTGCCCCTCTATTGCTGGTCTCAGGCAGGAATGCAGGTTCTAATTCCTCAAAAAGGGTGAGGGGTTTTAAAGAGACAACTCGTAAAACATTTTGCCCTTTTTCAGACCCTTACTTCTGTTACATGTTCATTATCTCGTTACATGTGCCAAAGTTTATCAAACTATACACTTTAAATATGTGCAGTTCGTATGTCAATTAAACCTCAATAAAGCTCTTTTTGAAAAATACAATGGGCAAGTAAGGAAAGCTAATTCAGGTTGTTTGGTTAGAGGAGACCTAAGCAGGTTACATTTGAGCTGAATACGAAGAAGGAGCTGGCCAGGCCGAGATCTGAGGGCAGAGCAGACTCACACTATTTGCAGAAGGGAAGAGGCCCGTGTGTTTGAAGCATGAGGAGCCAGAAAGGAGACTAGGACCGTGTAGGGCCCTACAGACCATGGTGAGGACAGTACCCAGCTGATGCTCATCCTTCCTGTCTCTTAAGAGTCCTCGTCTACAACTCAACGAGAGAGCAGTCTTTTCTGCGGTAGTTGTTCTGGCTAGTGATGGTGTAAAGTGGAGGCACGATGGGGGTGATGATGTGACTGGACCAGTTCGACTCTGATGTTCTTTGTGTTCTCTTCACCGCAGCTGTTCCTTCCCTCCATGAGAAAGAAGCCAGCGCTGGCTGATGGCAGCAATCCCGATGGTGATCTCCTCCAGGAGCACTGGCTGGTTGATGACATGTTCATCTTTGAGAATGTGGGCTTCACCAAGGACGTGGGCAACATCAAGTTTCTGGTCTGTGCAGACTGTGAAATTGGACCCATTGGCTGGCATTGCCTAGATGACAAGAACAGTTTCTATGTGGCCTTGGAACGGGTTTCCCATGAGTAACTGAGGGGAAGGGGATTCAGCTCCACCCCCAAATATAAAGCTACTCCCCACAAGAACTGGCATTTAACTTGGTATAACTGTTCTGCTGCCTTCCTGTCTGTGCTAACATAAGTAATGGATCCCAACATGTCCACTTTTCATGCAGAGGGTTAATCCTGCCTCCTTAAAGCTTCAAGTCCATGCCTCTTGTTTAGTTCATTTTGCATCACAACATTTCCTAATCTCCTTTTTCCCCCAGTTTTGGGACACTGTAGTGCCTCCACAAGTCTAGGCTCATCCTTAGCCTTGTGCCTAGGCTCTATTTTACCCAGGGCCTCCTTTTTTCTTGCTGCAGAAAAGTAGTATTCAGCCTTTTAGCCATGACAAAAGATGTTCATATGCTGATAGTTTAGACTCCACCTTTTTCTCTCTCATTCAAGAAAGCATACAGATAGGTGAGAGTGACTTTGTTGTATAACCTTGTTATCTACAGTCATCTTTTTTCTAAAAGGAAAGCATTTACAAACTTCGATATTTAAACCACTAATCAGAAACACATTACTTTGGACACATCTCTAACACCATGTTTGAGAGCCTCTGCTCTAGGTTGATGGTGACATTCTATTGTGAAGATGAATGTGGCCCCTCTTCCCTTCAAATCTTGGTGTGGTTTCTTTTTGTGTTAGCTTCTCATTGCTACAGCCTATAAGTTGAGAATCAGATTTTCAACCCTATCTGGCAGCCACTCAAGGAAAACTCAGCCCTGGCTGTTTACCCAGGCTCTCTTGGAATCAGAGTGGAGGGAGAAGGATATATGAGGGATAAAAGCCTTTGCCGGATTATATGGGAGTTTATAGGTTTGTCTCATCTGGACAGATGACATTCTTCCTTTGTTCTTAGGAAGACTTCTTTAACGGGTACTGTCTTCATTTACTGAACCTATAGGCATGGTCCTCATGGAGTTTTGGTTTAGTTGGACCTGTACCAACCTAGAATACAAACTGTCCACCAAATGCCTCTATTTCTATAGCTGTGGGGTTGCTCTGACAGTTCGATGCGACTAAACTCATCTAAGCCTTCAACATGATTTCCAATTATTCTGTCGTTTCTCTTCCGAAATGACTCACCATCTTAGAAGGCGTCTGTATAATCAGATGTCAGGGATCTTCTCGTTGTCCCTACCTCTAAGATTCGGGAGGCCTAAAGCTGAAATAAGGACTAAATAGAGACCTTACCGTATGTAGTCCTTTTCCTTGCATCTATTTTCCTTCACGCAAAAACTTTCTAAGGGCTCCCCATTAAAGTGCAGACCTTGGGCATAGTTCTCAGTCACCCTATTCCCATAGAAAGGTGACTTTCTTCCCCAGTCAACGTGAACAAGCTCCAGTAGAAAATGAGGGAACTGTGTTTTCCAGACAAACAATCCGTTGTATGTGATTATGGTATCTGCAGAAAAAAACAACTGAGAATCATCCGCTCAGGTTAAAAGGAATAAAACCAAGTAGATGCCTCTAGGGGCATGTGGCCCCTCACATCACAAGCCAGAACCTAAGCTAAGCGTTTTTTTCAAATTAGGCTTTAACGTCTTTCTTTTTTTAATCACAGAAATAGTACATGTTCAGATTCAAAATGGGCATACATTTTTTTTAATTACTCATACTTTCACCATCCAGAGATTTCCCATGGTAATGTGGTACATATCCTTCTCGGTGTTTTTCTATGTGTATATATAAACATGTATGGTTTTTTAAAACAAATATGAGATCATACTGTACTCTTATACAACTTGCTTTTTTATTTAACAAAATAGGGTGAAATCTTCTTATGTCAGTGGATACCCATCTATGCACACCATTGTTCTTAGTATTCCATTGTGTCACTGTGCTGTAATTTATTTAAACAATGCACTATTAGGTTGTCTCTGGTTTCTTATGAACAATGATATACTGTGCAACCTTATAGTTAAATCTGTATCCACGTTTTTAATTATTTCCTTGGCACACATCATTAGACGTGGAATTACAGGGTATGCACGTTTTCAGAGCTTTGCTGTATTGACACATATTCCTCAAAAAGCTGTGCTAATTTACCCTCCTCCAGCAGTGTAAAAGAGCATTTGTTTCCCTGAACCCTTACTAACACTGGGTATTTATTAAAAAATTTTTTTGCTGTTACTGTGAAGGAATACCTGAAAAACAAAAACAAAAAAAATTGCCACTTTAATAGAAAATACAGTATCTCATTGTTTTAATTTGCATTTTTTATTTCTGATGAAATTTTTATATACTTATTGGTCATTTTTTGTATTTTCTTTTTTGAGAATTGCCAAACATTGTTGCCCAAGTAGCCAAAAATATCAAGTTGCTATTCTGCCTTTCCAGTTTGATTTGAAAAACAATAAAGACATTTAAACAGTGGAAATTAGATTGCTCCATGTCCTTGTGAAGAATATATAATTTGAAAAAGCAGAGGAGAGCTGAAACCCGAACCTTAGGGTTTAGCTTGAGGTCTGTCAACTAATTAACTAGTCTGCTGTGAAATGCAAATGTCATTTGTTTGTTCCCCTCACACATTATAGGCTGCCAGTTAGTACCTGTGAACCAGCTAACTGCTGTTTGCAGTAGGTAACCAGCGCTTGCTGCTAGGAATATAGAAACCTGCAGTTTTTATTAGGGAGGGTAATTGATTTTGCCAAGGCCTAATTTTTTCTACAAAATTGTCTTTTTTTTTTTTTAAACCCAGAAACAAACATGGATGATGGTGTACTGACATTTTACATATGACCATGTCATGTATGATGCTACTCAAGTAACTCTACCGTATAACTAATGAGTTCTGTTCCTGGTAATGGTGGCTAGATCATTTGGACTGGCCATCTCACTGAGGGCAACTGAAAATGCTGGACAAAATATTTTAAAGATCTGTGTGAAGGCATCAGAGAACTATAATAACGAGTTAGGGGCCACTGTCTTCCTGGAGACATTTCCCAAATTTGGAGGCATTTGAGAGGCTGATCAGTTATTTTGACAGCCTGTCAAAAGTAGGGGACAGGGCCTGGCAAAGGGTAGTAGACTTGGTGGTATCCCTCACTTAGGGTTGAAGCCCTCAGTCCTTTGCACCCCAGGAATAAGGGTGAGCCGGAAGTAGGAAATAGCAAGGCTCTTTTGAGATTGCGGCTCAGCTTCCGATTATGTATTTCAATTCTTGCAGTTAGATTAAGGTGATCCCAGAGTGGTAGTTTCCCCAAAACCTTGCGTTAGGGTGGCGATGCCAGTGCACACTGGCTTTGAGAAAGATTTCTCCAGACAGAGATTGGGATAGAAAAGAAGGTTTATTTACTTTTCCCTGGGGGAAGGGAAAAGGACCAGCACAGAGGCGGAAAGGGAAGAATGCTGGCTCCAAAAATCAGCTATCCAGGTATCAGGGATTTTTAAAGGGGGTTGTGAAAATGGCAGGGTATAGTTGAGAAGTTGCCACACCTGCTCCTTTCTTTCTTCTTGGCGGCAGATAACAAAAACTGCTAGGATGTCAAAGTCCGAGACTTGGTTTCCTGCCTTTCCTTGGAGAAGGGATTATCACAGGAGATCTGACTCTGTCCTCAGATATGCTTGAGGCTGTCGCTAGTTCTCCAGTTTACTCAGGAACTCTGTAAAAGCAGATTCTCAAAAAAACAATTTTGAAAGAGAGATTTACATCTCTTTTCTGTCCATTTAGCTCCTTTCAGAAGTTGTGCAAAGCAGAACTCCTGCAGGGTACCTGTTAGTTAGACAACTCATAGGATTGATCTTTAACTGTTACTGGGGAAATTGTAGGATTAGGTATTTTCCTGTTGTTTTTGCAAGGCTGTCCCTTTCACCTTGGTATAAGCAAACTAAAACCCTCTCTAGAGGAGATATCATCATCCTAAACCTCAAATTATTTCTACAAACAATTTAGCTAATACAGTATCCTGACAACAAAATGTAACCAGGCATATGAGAAAAGAAATTTAGCAAAACAATATAGACAATGGAAACAGGCCCATAGTGGCTAAAGATATTGGAGCTATCAAACAGACTTTAAAATAAACTGCTTACTATGTTGATGGAGATAAACAAGTTTGAGAATTTCAGCAGACACCTGGACATGGGGGGCAGTGGGGGAAAAATGCAAGAATTTTTTAAAAATCCAATAACCAAAACTAAGAATTCAGTGGAAGGTTTTTGGTTTTGTTTTTGAGACAAGGGTCTCACTATTTTGCCCAGGCTGGTCTCAAACTCCTGTGCTCAGGAAATCCTCCTGCCTCAGTGGAAGGTTTTAACAGCAGAATAGGCACAGCTGAAGAGAGAACCAGAAAACTAGGAGCTAGGCATAACTCTTAACAGTAGATGTGTAAGTCCACAACACAAAACTTACGTGACGTTACTGAGAGAAATTAAAAGAAAACATATTCACAGGGCCAGAAAACTATAGCTCACAGGAAAAATCCATTCATCTAGCACCTGATCTATTAAGGCTTAAGAGCCTTCAAGCTAAAAATGGCTCTTACATTTTTAAATGGTTATATAAGTATATCTATACACTATCTTCAATTTTGCCTCTTAGCAAAAATAATAAGCCTAAAATACTTACCTAGTCCTTTAAGAAAAAAATTTGTCAGCTCCTAACTAATACTGTGAAGTTGTCAACTTTGCCCAAACTGATGCATAAATTCAGTAAATCCCAAACAAACACAACAGGTTGTGTGTGTGTGTGTGTGTGTGTGTG